AAAATTAAAATTAAACCATATTGGTGGAAATAAGTCTTAGTTTATATATCTGACGAAGTTTAAAATAAACTGAGAGTAAAGTAGACCAAGGTAAGTATATGCTATCGTTGTCGAGTTTTCCATAACTCTCATGTTATACTTTATCGTAAAATATTTCTAAAATTGCTTGATAAAAAAGCTCTCTATTTAACTGCAACGTATTAGGCCTGTTTTTTAATACCTGAACTAGTATACACTTTTAGAACTTAAAGTGAAATAGATTTTCGATATTTGACTGCAGTAAGGAAAGAAAGGGTTCTCCCGTGTAGGGGAAAAAAAATAGACCCTATCGCGGAGCACACAAAATATGCAAATTCCAAGAAAAAAAAATCAATGGGAGACACTTCGCATCACATGTTTTTACTCTTGCAGACTCGCTCTCGCTACGGTTTCCCGATCAGCGAGATTCGTTCGAGGCGAAGTCCAGAACGGGGAATCAATTCGCGCTTAATCTACTCCAGCTCGGAGGAGCAGTTTTGCACGCACGGGAGGGGAGGAGGATAAACGCGATTATACCCCTGTTACGTACCTCCGGTTAGCACTAACTTGTACACGCGTTTCTGATCCATCGCCGTCGCAGCGGTTCCACTTCCGTTTCCGTTCGGAATCGCTCCTTCTCCACTTGCTCCTATCTCACGCCTTCTCACCCTCGCTGCTCGACGACAACGACGTTGCCTTCCTCGGGGATGCCGGGAGGGTGGTTGTTTCCTCCGCTCCGGCCTCCGACGTGACGGGGGACGCCGAGGGGACGTGGCGGGTGTACGATGCTCGAAGGCGGCGGTGGTCGGTACTACATAAATACCTGGTAGCACATCTCGGATCGGCGCGTGCTCGACCGCGTGCTCGGACGACGCATGGAAAAGAAACGGGAGGGCGGAGGACTGACGGCGACGAGAATATCCTCGGCGCTAGCTTGTTCGGTGATTAACCGTTAAATTTCGCGAGCCTTCTCTCACCGCGGGTACCTGGCCCTTTTCACGTAGAAGGAAGAGAGGAAAAAAACACGGTGCGGCGAGTCTCGCGCGACCACGATTCGGCGCAACAAACGCACGGACGTCCGTCCCGTACCACAGCTTGGAGGCATCTGAAGTGAGTTGCGCAGCTGGTCACTTCGGTTACTCCGGTTGCGAATCGCGCGAAGTCACGCGCGCTCCACCGGAGCCGGAAGGCGCCGACGAGCACCACCACGGAAACGGAAACGATGACGGACTTCCGCGCCAAATTCAAGCGTGTTCGTCTATGCTTTCCACGCTCGTTGCCCCATTCGCGTTTTAAAATAATGGGTGTGCTCCAAAATTTATTGTCAGTACTCAAAATCTACACAATACATGTAACGTAAACTACAGATTTTTACTACCGGTAGTAAATTTTGGTACACAGCTATCGATGAACCTTCGGATTTAATACTTGGCTCCTTGTTTGTTACTTTATATTTATGAAGTTAGATATTTAACAAAAAGAATCTTTTCATACTTTAACAAGAAATATTAACTTACATTGTTATTCTTGCAAAATGAATTCTTTTATTAAACGATGCCAAATATCGAACGTATATTATAAAACAAGTGTTCGATAAACGTGTAACAATCGCGTTGAAAGATTGAAATAGTTGAAAAATAAATAACAAAAATATTAGATAATAATTGGATTAATAAAAATAGTTAATTGTTAAAGTTTAAAAAAAATGTTTTTCTTAATCGTCATAAATATATGCAATGTCTTTTTTTTTCTCGTTTTAGACATGCGTTCGACTTCGAGAATATTTTTGAAGATATTTTTTAAAGATAATTCTTGAAGATAAATATAACGGAATTCATGCGATATATATAAATATAAATACTAAACCGGCCGCAAATTGAATTCAATATTAATTAACATTGAAATATATAAGAATTTTTTCCATAAAATTTTTTTGTAGTACAACCACAAATGGCAAATGATGCATTGTTTAATGTTTCAAATTGACAATATTTATTCGAAATTTATATCTATATATCTGACAATGAAATCTATTATGTATATATTGGAATATATTCTGATTGTAAAAATCGACAAATTAAATTAAAATGCTGCTCGGTTTGGCATTAGTTATTGCGCTTTTTCGTGATACGGGAATTGTACTCACCGAAATTGTTTTTGATTCCGCGTCTAGAGAACAAAAACACCTCTTTGCACAACAATTTTCTCTCGTGAGATTGTAGAAGATTTACCCGTGATGAATGTTGTCTTTATATATATTTCACCACATCCCCACATCGCGACTGTTTAAATTACTTTGGAAAATATATCGATGGAGGAAAAAACCAACGAACATTTCTTTGTCGTCCTCGTTAGCACAACCACAATAAAAATAATGTCCTTGGTATAGATAGCATGCTCTGCTAAGTTTTCCTTATTTTATCCTCCTTCCGAGCAACATAAGAGGACGTAAAAGAGCCACGTAAAACCTCTTTACGTATTTTTTCAACCTTCGATTTGCTAAAAATATATATTATGTTTGAATTAATTGTAATTCTTATATATATATTTATAATTTTTAAATATTTTTAGTACATAGTCTACAAATTTTTTTTTTTACTTTACTCTTAAATAACGGGATAATAATAGAATACAACCAACGAAAATAAAGTTACATTGATTTTGTTTAAAAAAAAAAAAAAGACTTTTATTTTGATCAAATATCAGTAATTTGGAAACTTAAAGAATAGATACAGACACTGGAGAGTCTCGAATATCTTTTTTTCGTTTTTAATTTAATCGTTGTCACTTATGCGATTTCTTCAAATCTCGATATTTTTTTTACAATTTTCATTATAATATGGATTTATGAAATAAAATTATTTAAATCGGTAGAATCGATTCTTCCGTATTCCTCTCTTTTTCTTTTTTATATTTACAATCTTTTTTTTCTATTAACAGATATTAGTTAATGTACAGCTAATATCTTAAGTAAACAGCGCTGAGGATCGGATCTATTGCGTAATTACGATGCATAGTACACTGCTCAGAATGATTAAAGAATCATGAAATTTAATCTTATATTCGAGCAATCTGAAATTACATCGGGGGCATTAATAGACAACACATATATTCACAATCATATATATCCAAAAAGATTTAAAAATATAAAACTAATATTTCGGATATTCATAGGAAAAAGTAAGACGAATAAAGATTAAATTATTCTAAATGACATCAAGTATAAAATATTTTATATAATAAAATATTTTATACTTATATATATAAAGTTTATGTTGGAATTTTGTGCTCAAAATATGTTTCTTTTTAACGTAAAATATACGCACGAAGGAAAAGAATAATGAAAATTATTAATATTACGATCAAGGGGCATCCTTGAAATTTTTGATTTATCAAACGAGCAGTTTAACGAGCATCGCTGTAATTAATAGGCACTGCGGACAAATATACGTTTAACAACCTTTTTGAGACAAAACACACAATTAGTAATACTCTATAGGTCTATTTTTTTAACTGAACCTTGTTGCACTATCTATTTCTTTTTTTTCTTTCATTAGAGAAAAAAAGAAAATGTAAACCATGCAAAAAGTTCAAACTAAAAAGAACAGACCCATGCATTCTTCGATATTATTTGCACTTGTCATATTTCAATATTCAGAAAAATCTCATCGTCGCGCAGTGAATCGTCGATGATCTCTAATTCTAACACCCTTAAAGAAAAAGATGTAAATACATATAATACTATATATCATTAGAATAAAGGCAGAATGAATATACTGTACATAACATTAAATATGTGAATGATGAATCATATCCTTAAATTTATATAACTTTTTATATATTATTCTTTTAAACTATTCTTATTATATTTGTACAATGTTTTAGACAGAGATGCGTCAATTGTTGATATTAGGAAAATACCATACGTATTCAGTAATTTAAAGTTAATTGTCAGATTGAATCGCAAATGTAAGAAAGAAGACAGATTTGGTATTTTGGCAATAGTTTGCGCTATTAAGTTATAGCTGTCACAAATATAATAAATAGTAATGTACAATGTGAAATTACTTTACCATTTACATTACTATGATAAAATAGTAAAAAAGTTGCACCAAAAGTTATAAGAGTGGCTCAACTTCCATCAGGAATTTTAGTAATGGCGATAAAATTATATGTGTTGCTTAGTCCTAATTTAGATCATTTTTTCCAAATATTTCTCCTTTACATGCTGACACTTTTGTCATTTTGGCGACAGTGTTATGTCTGTAGAATAGAAGTCTTTGATACTCTAGTGATTCGATAAAACTGGTACTGCGATCCTAATTTAGGAATCAGAAATCCATTCAGTTAGGTCAGTTAAGAAGAAATCTTTGGACTAATGTTGCAGTCACTGTTCGTGAAGATCGCTCACCTTTTCTTGGCCATTCCTGACTTCTGCACACCATTTATATACTTGATGTATGTTATCAATTTGAGTCTATAAACACAGTTCTTACGCTTTAAAATTTTTAAAAACTTAATCCCTTTTTTTTTTTTAAAAAAACTTGACAGTTCTGATCGAACATGCACATCCAATTCTTCATGGCTGTTTTCCAGCTAGGACACAGAGACATTTCCACTATGTAAAGTACTTGTTGGAACGCAATTTAATTTCACAGTGTAACATCAGAATGCATTGCAGTCTTCCATTCTATTCTTATAATTATATTTAATTTAAATTTTTAATTTAGTTTATTGCAAAGCAATAATGAAAAAGATTACATGTTAATAGAGTAATAGACATAAAGTATGATACAATAGACTATAGTTAACATAAACATAAATACAATAGACAAGTAGCTTGCAAATGGTTAGGCGCCAGTAAAATTGCTGTTACAAAGCCTACCAGTAACATTTAGCGTATCAATAATAGATTTATGATTTTTATTTAAGCTTAAGTTATAATTTTTTCAGAATTGACGATTTTTGAAAATTTTATTGCAAAATAAGTACAGCTACCAAATAACTATTTTAAAAGTTAGTAACACCGACAAATATTACACGCTCGTACTTAGCCTTTTACTATGTCGAGCAGTGTAACACTGTGTTATAGTTGGAACACTTTGTGTAAGATACACTGTGTCACCTGTGTACGTTGTTGGAAAACACCCCATGTTTACTGCCATTATTTTATAACCACAGTGCGTTTCGAATTATTCTATAACAGGAGGAACTCCTTTATTGCTACAAGAGATATGAGAATTCGGCACTTCATCATTTCTCAAAAAATCAAAAATTTCAGAAGTTGAACCACCTTTATATAAATCTAAATATCGAATGATCGAAGCGTAGCCGAACATTTTAAAGTGCGTATAGCGTAAAAAACATCTGATTTGAGAATTTGAAGATATCGAGGAAACTAATCGTTCACCAGTCGCAGAATTCAAGTCTTTGTACAAATTTTAATGGTATCCCCATGCTAAGCAACTCGTCCGGTGAAGCGTCTTTCAAATCCTCCCAATAATAATTCAACGCTTCCCAGCAGATCTCGGACAATTTGGGAATTGTTAGCCAAGCAGAATAAACCGCGTTTGTTCTTTTCACCTGTAATGATGAAAATATTCAAATAATCGCAATTATAAGTAAAAGAAAGTGCATTGAATAAAAAACATTTGTAGAACGTCATGCTATTTAGAATACGATAATAACCTTGTTGTTCATTTTGACTATACCGCCGAATATGTACATGCGACCTTCCGGAGTCAGCGCGGCCGAATGAAAGTATACTGGGCATGGTAGGATGCATTCTCGCAAGCGTGTCCATCGCAGTGTGCTAAGATTAAGTCGCCAAACGTCATTAAATACTCGATCGCCATTGTAACCGCCCGATATGACGACCGAAGTAACGCCGTTCCTCTCGTCTGTGTACTGCACAGAACCGTGACAACGTCGTGGCGCCGGTACCATAGTCTCTTCAGTTTCGCCATGCGTGTTTAAAATCTTCCAACTGTTAGTCTTCAAATCAAACGCGGGTATTTCCTGAAAAAATTTTTTCAAAACATTACACGAGAAAATTAAAATTATTGCATATTTTTTTTATATATACTTTTACAGAAAATTTAATACATTAATAATTATATATGTATTTAATACGCACTTTCTCAACACATATTATATTAATATATCACAATAAAATATATCATAATATATTAATATGTCACAATAAAAGCATAAAATTTAGGACTGCATATACTTACTAGTAAAAATACATGTATTAAAATGTATACTTTTACAGACACAATATTATGCTTTTATTAATGTGTTGTAGCAAATACTTATCGAATAAATTAATATTTATTAGGAATAATAGACATTTTTGATATACTTTTGCTAAAATTCCTTGTATAAATGCATACATTAACTAGTTCATATGTAATTACTAAATTTTACATTTTTATCATGATATATACAAAGGCAATTGTATTACTTTATACTTTTTAAGTAGAAGCTTTACACATTTATTCACTCACCAAAAAACCATATGATTCTGTCGAAGTACCACCACCCAAAACATAGATCATCTTGCCATCAAAAGCAAGCTCGTGTCTGTATCTGCCATGTGGTTCTAATTCATCCTTGCCTGAACAAATATATACTACCTCCCAGATACTTCTTCTCAGATCGAAGCGATGAATGTCACAGGTATATTCATAACCAGTAGTGCCACCAACTGTATAGAGATAGGAACCATGGCATACTAATGCCTATCCATAGAAAATAAATAATCTTACTGTTATATAAGTAAAAATTTGTTGCATATATAAGTAATAAAAAAAATAACATAGACTAAAACAGTGACATATAAATCAGAGAGTCTTGAGATTTTTATCATAAAACCTGAGATTCATATTTAGTCTTTAATAAATCTTTTTTTTTTTTCATTTTCATTACTTTAATCAATTTCTTATTAGGATATTGGCTAGTTCTATGGTAGAGCAGTTATCTCTTATTGAACAAAATTAATGGTTTGCCAATCAATAATTAAACCATCAAGCAAACAATTCAAGCTTTGTTCTCAAGTTTTTCTATCTTATGTATGATAATTTTTAATAGAAACAATATTATTCCAATATGATAGAAACAAAAATTATAAATCACAGACACAGTACCTGACTAGATAAATAAATCTTAGTACTGTATCCTGCAGAAGATAGAAAGTCAAATAAGGACAAAAATGATTATACCTGTCCATACTGAGGTTCAGGTAGCTCGCCTATGGCTGGCACGACGTTGATGGCACCGTCGTCTACATTGCAGACATACAGCTGATTGCTACAGCTCTCGCCAAATGGTACACCGGTACCACCATACACCATCAACGTATTGCCACACAGTATCACTGCATTTGACGCCAGCTCGTTCGGCATATTTTCTTGGCCAGGTAGCCGGGACCAGCGTTTGCTGACAAAATTGAAACGCCATAGTTCCTTAAACAGTGGTTTGCTAGCACTCCACATCTGATCATCACGCATGTCAGGGTCGGTATCAGATACGCATGGATTGAAGCCACCATATGAGTACAGGTTCCGATGATCGCAAGCAATCCGGTGACCGCTTCGGGCCTTCGGTTGCTCCTTCCCTTTCACCTCAGGCTTGATAAATACAAATGGCTTGAACGTGTACATTTCTACGTCCATCATTCTCAGCGTTGTGTACCTAGACGTCGCAATACGACGAAAAGCAGTTACGAAAACAATCAGAGACTTGGCAAACTACAAGACGCTCCTCTTTGATGAAGCTTCGTCACGCGCTGCGGTCATTCCTAACCTTAAGAGCGTTTACCTAATCTCCATGCGAGATTGCAACCACTCACCTACCTGTCTATTTATCTATCCTAAACTAAGATTCGTCCAATTCGTTCTTTCGAAAACTCTCGTGTTTGTGGCACAATATTAGCGACTGGATCACCCTGGTGACTGCCTCGGGAAAGAATTACCGGTCATCTCGCGCGAGGAAGATACGCGACAAGTTTCTTTCTTTCCGCAATGTCGTATACTAGCCGGAAATAGATTTTTCGTGCAGAAGATCAAAGGAATTAAAGTAGAGTCGTCTTTTCCGTCTTGACTGCGATGTCGCTCTTCCTCTTCTTTTTTAGTTATACGAGGTCTCAGACTATTGAAGTCGTCACTTTTCTCTTCTTCTACTTCTGTGCCCAATGATTATCTGACCCGAAAGTCACAATACCTACGCAATAAATTTGATGATGTGCTGATCGAGTCGCTCACTTTCTTACGATTCTCACGACGACCGACATCTTCCGCGTAGGCGCGCTCTTCTTCTTTATTACCTCTCCCCCCCCCCCCCAGATGGATTTCCGACCTAATATTCAGAATTACAATTTTTTGTAGATTCTAAATAGAACGTGCTTTCTTAGGGCGCAAGAAGCTTTAACAGTTGACTCCAAGCGACTTCAAAACGTTCTCCTCTCCGTGGAAGCTTTTTCTCGAACTTCAAAGTTACCGTTGACCATTCACTTCATCTCTTTGTACGCAACACGCATTCAATCATGTGGCTATCTCGTCTTTCAAACACAGGCAAGCGTGGAAGAGCCAACGAGAATGCAACCGTGTTTATTTTCGTACGTAAAAACAATCCACGTTACCGGATAAGATTGCGTCCCGCAAAGTCCCGCGACATCCACCGGAATACTTCCGGAACTCGATGGAAATGGAATCGGAAGTTAAACAATCACATGGGAGTATCTAGAGTTTCTAGAAAAATTCCAAACATCAATCGTTTTGATTGGTTGTCGTCAATCTAGTAACTTTGTAATCGAAGTATATTTTACTCCAACGACGTGTACGGATTGTTTATAGGTTATAATTTATTTATGGACCATAAACAAATTTCAAGGTGCAAATTATTTGTCACGCATAAAAGTACTGTAAGTTTTGATATACCTTGCCTTGATAATATTTTTAAAAGATGAAGGAAATTCCTCTCTCAAACTGTGAACGAAATTTTATAAACAAATGTATAGAGGAAGAAACAGTAAGTACTTTTCCTGTAAATTTATTAGATAATAATTCTTATATCTTTTAAAAATTATAATGTATGCATATTGTTATAATTTATAATTATAATGTATCATTTATCAATAATTAATAAATGATATATTTAAAAAATGTATTATTTATTATTTTATAATTATGGATATAAATTTTGAAACAAACATTTTGTGTCATGTATATATAATAATAAAACTTTATAATAAATTTATCATATTTCAGAGATTAGACGGCCGAAAATTATTAGAACCACGTTCAGTAAAAATCTATTTCAGCTCCAATTGGGGATGTTGTATGGTGTCTCTTGGACACACAAAGTAAATTTCACTTAATAATATATAGATTATTTTTAATGAATATATGAAGTATTGAAAAAAGAAATCCTTTTGCAGAGCTGTAGCACAAGTATCATGTGATATACAACAGCCGAAAGCATCTCGTTCTAATGAAGGCATGATACGCATAAATGTTGAGCTTGCTCCTTTAGCAGCACAACATTTTGAAGGAGGTAGACAGTCTGAAGCAGCTATACTGATCAGTAGGCAGCTGGAGAAATGTTTTAAAGATTCAAAATGTGTAGATTTAGAATCTCTCTGTATAGTAGCAGATAAGAAGGTTAGAATGCTTGATATTGAGTAGTAATCAACAAAAGATACAGATAACACAATGTAACTGTAATGTGAATTATTATATCTTTATTGTTTGTCAATGTTAAACAGGAATAAAATGTTTTGCTGTGTTACATTGTGTCATTTGTGTACTCTTCTGAAAAGCACCTGTTAAATATTATGTGTAACATTTGTTATGTTATGACTTACATGGTTTTTCATTCAGGTATGGAATTTGAGAATTGACGTTAATATTATAAATCATGATGGGAATCTTGTGGATTGTGCTTCAATAGCGACGCTCGCTGCTCTTATGCATTTTCATAGGCCAGATGTCACGTCTACCGGCGAGGAAATTATTATACATCCGGCTTCCGAGAAAGATTTTCTACCATTGACATTGTTCCACTACCCAGTCTGTATATCTTTTATAACTTTTAAGAGGTTGGTTGATGGAACAGAAATTATTTATTGAATTTTATATATAAGATAAAAAATTCCTTCTTACTTGAAAAATCTACTAATAAAATAATGTAAAATCTATGAATTTTACAGTGGCAACACTATAATGGATCCCACGTACATAGAAGAAAAAGTTGGTGTTGCTGAACTTACTCTCGGCGTGAACTCTTATAGAGAACTTTGTAGCTTGCATTTTGATTATTTAACAAAAACTACGACGGTCAAAGACATCATATCCGCTGTTTCTAATGATGCAGCTAATTATGCAACAAAATTAGTGCAGCAGATCAAGGAGGCAGTAATCAAGGATGTGCAGTCAAGGTATGATTTACGTTGTTCTGAAAGTAATATCTTATTTATATCGTATGTTAATTTAATTTTAAAATAATTTTTACGAATATAAAATATAATAAATAATCTAAATATTCATGACAAACATTAACTGTTTTTATTCACGTACAATTTAATTTGAAATATTAATCAGAGAAGAAATTCTCTGATTATTTTAAACAATATGGAAGAAAATGAAGAGTATTAAAACAATATTTTATTATAGATATAAAAAAGATGACAGTAATATATCTAGATTTAAAGAAAGCATACAAGTGAATAAATTAACGACAACGATTGGCGATCACATTAGCATTAAATTACATAAATGGGATGCAACAGCTATAGTCGAAGGTATGTATTTCATCTAATTTATTTTTTATATATGCATATGTGTTAAGATTAAATTTATTTAAATCAGATTGATTTTATTTTATTATAAATTGAAGTAAATTTTAATAAATTTTAATTTTTTATAATCATATTTAATTAGAATTAAAATTATCTTTAATTATATTGAATTAAAATTAATAATTAAAAATTAATTTTATTTTATTTGATATATGAAATATAATTATATATACAATTTTATAGATGATTCCATGGAAGTGGAAAATGAGGAAAAGAGTCGTATTATAAAATATAAAGAAGGATCTGCTGAATTAATACCCATTCCCATCGTAAGTACAGAAGAACATATTTATTATAGTATTATAGTAATTTTTTCAATTTTGTTCAAATTGATAATTAATTGCAATAATTTTTTAATGTTCTTGCAGAATTCAATTAAGAAAGAAGAAATTTTTAGTATATTTAATTCTGATTCAGACGATGAAATTCTCGTCAATTCATCTTCGGAAAGAAAAGAAATAGACTTAGTGGACTTAATAGATAGCGATTAGATTTAAAAATATATAATTTTGGAAAATTAATTATCTCAATCTAATTTTTATTCTATAGTCTCTGTACATTTTTCCAAAATTACACACCAATTGCCTTGATCATAGTATACCTCCTTAATCGAAGTCAATGGTATTTTTGTGCACAATCTCGCGAGCTCACCATCGCGGAATACATGATAATATCTCAAAAAATGTTCACCGCTCTTCTTGGTCCAGGGAACTAACATGTCGCTCTGAGGGAAGACCATTCTATTTTCATGAATCGGTAACGTTAAATTATACTCGGAGATTCTCTCATGATTGATTCTGTTCTGATTGATCTTCTCAGATTCCTTGCTTTTTTTGCCAGACTTTAAATAGAGCGAATCCTGAGAATTCCTACGTTGCTCCATTGCCCACACATAAATCAAACATTTCCCTTTTGGTCTCAACACTCGAACTATTTCGGAGATAGCTCGTAGTCTTCGTTCCTCAGTGGATAAATGATGAATAACTGCAATACTGATTATCGCATCCACGGAATCATCTTTATATGGTAAATATAGACAGTTACACTGAAGAACCTCGAAGCTTCGTTTGCGACATATACCCATCAATCCAGAGCTATGATCACATCCCATCTAAGATAATTCTCGAAATTAGTAACGCCTCTGCTTGAAAGGGTATAATATAAACCAAAGTAAATGTCAGCGTATTTAACTTTTTTTTATACCAAATTATATATTCCTATTAATTAAATATCAACAATAAAATTAAAATAATGTAACAAAAAACTTCCGTCTTAACAAACCTCAATAAAAAGAGCTAGGGGTCGGCGCAGTAAACGGTAGAGCGCAATCACATTTATACAATTACTTTAATATGTATTGGGTGGTCCGGAAAGTCCATGCGGATTTTACAATGAAAAATTGTATATACGATACCTTCGTCAAAAATGAACGAAATTTAAATTTAAAAAAAGGGTTTTAAAGCTTGAAATCTCTACTTTTAAAAGCTTATCACATTTTTTAAGTTTATATGAGTTTGATAATTTTTACATACCAAAAACTACGAGCTGAAAAAGATAAAAAATTTTCTTTTCACTTTGGGGGTCTCTCACGTGCCCAAAAAAAATTTACGAAAATTTTCGACTACCCATCGTGAAAACTTAAAGCTTTCCCTACAAAATCATTTTTTAAAAATGTTCCTATAATTTTTTGTTTCTGAGTTATTCGCGAGTTAAGTAAAGAAGCATTCTGGTTTCGATTGCTCATAACTCCGATAAAAATCATCATATCGCAATTTAAAAAACAGATTCTTAAAGCTGAAACTTTGCTCTAGCGAATGATATAATCGTAACGAAAATTTCGCAACAAATAAAAAAACTTTTGAAAAATCAATGAAAAAATCCGCACGGACTTTCCGGACCACCCAATATCATAATTAGACTACATTCGATTTGCAAACTGTTTCGATTCTGATTCGAGTCATCCTCAGCAATATCAATTATTAATATACAAAATTAATGATAGTTCCGTATCTTAAAAAAAGCGAGAATCCAATTTCATTAAATCTAAACATTTGCTCATTTTTTATCAAGATGTGGAACTATCTTAATTTTGTATATTAATCATAATACTACTGAGAATGGATCGAATTAAAGCCGAAACGTATCGTTTGTGAACACAATTGTAGTTTAATTAAAATAATTGTATAAAAGTAACTACACTCTGTTTATCACTCCATTTATCACGCCGATTCTTAACAACTTTCTTATTATTATATACTTGTTTGAATTTATTTGATTCCTATTAATTAAGCTACTATTAATGAAATAATAAGAAAGTACCTTATATACATTCTGATTTCCACAAAGATATTTGCCATTCCCGCAACCCACATCCAAAAGCAATGTGCCTTCTTCTAAACTTTCAAGGAATTTTGTTACGTTGGGCCATTGTTTATGTCGCGTCTCGCTAAAGTGATTACATATTTCTTCATAAACCTGTAAGAGCATAATTTCAGTAATCATAAGAAACAAAATATTCACACATGAATTTACACACCTTATGTACATATGAACTTTCCAATCCCGACGCCGCCTTGTCGTCAATAAAAGTTTCACGTTTCGCAGTATCACAATAGTTTTTGAAATCACAGTAGCATTCACCACGTCGTACTTTTCTGAAGGTGAAAGATACTCTGATGCCACGTTCCTGCGATGTAGGTCCATTTTCTGTCTTGATAACATCACTGTAACGAGGACAGATGCCATGTGTCCATGCATATCTCGCTTCTCCTGTCATAATCAATAAAGATCTGGCTGGCAGGAGAACATCGATTTTTTTATCTTCTTTCTTAAAGTTCATGACCCATGTG